GGGATCACTAGTTCTAAGGATTTCTTGCGCCACATGTCGAGTTCGAGGTTAAAGTAGCGGTTAGGGTTATTACCGAAAATGAAAAATGAGTGTAGCGAATTCTCTATCGTTTACATGTAGTTGATGCTCGCAAAGTGGAGGGCAAGACTGAACACATTTACGCGGTGTCCTCTACGAGCCTGGGAGTGAAATATTTTTCTAGAGCCAAGTTCAGTCAGATGTCGCAATAGCAAAAGATTTGGCCCATGAAGGAACGATTCAAAATTTTCAAGTCAAATTTTCACTCTCACACAGGCCTCATCAAGTGTACAAGACCTAGTACATCCTCATTCCAATGACCACACTTCTTGTCGACTTTCTCTGGCCTCAGCTTGTCACCAAATACACTCCCACGCCGATATTTATACCCATAAAATGAAGCAAAGAGTGGCGCAAAAATTTGGGAGACAGTTCTTTAGAATGGGAGTGAGAGGGTTCTAGACTAGTCTTCGAGGTAATGCAGATGATGTATACAATCTCGACGGACACGATATTTTGAATTTTGGCAAGGAGTTTTACAAATTAAGCTTTGTGCGGGCTAAAGCTTCGGTTGCGAGAGTGCAGGCGACACTATAAACACCGCCATGGTTAGATGGTGCTGTGGTCCGCCTCCTGGTGGTTGTCTCAAGTAAAGTTTGAGTAGCCTGGGCACCTGCTCCACTTGGGAAGGAGACATCCCAGACCACATTTCGCGCGGAGAAAAGTCAATGGATGGAGGCATGTCTGGACGGCTCAGGGTTTTTAAAAAGTTCCCCTGGGTGGGTGTTCACGGATGAGGGTTGACTTGGGGTGAAGAAAAAGCAGTCATAACTTCGTAGTGGTACCTGCAAATGAAATCCGAGGCATGAGTGCTCTTCTCGTACATTGAGTCATCTTTTCTGTAACCTGCCCCGATTTAATGTCATAGCTAGATAGCTGCATACGTAATTAAAATCTGATGCAATTAAAAAAGCTCGCAAAATTAGTGAGTTGGTTAATTACCCAAAGGTGTAGTTTTCCAGGTGCTGATCTACATCGGCTTATTACCCGGTACGCCAAACAGCCGAATAATGGTAAATCTCCTTGGACCGACTACCATACTTTAAAGACCGAACATCTGTAGTATTGGTTGGATTGTTTTAGACATAGAGTGGCTGGTTGAAGGGTACCTGTGGTATACTCCTAACGTGGATTGGAGCTTTGCCAATTAGGTTCGGGCTAAGTCTGCTGAAGGTCGAGCCAGATTATTTGTTATGACTACTGGCGATATCCGAATGATAATATTTTCGGTTAAATCACGTGCGAAATCGTGAGATGAAGGTAACCCATAACGCACCTGACCGTAATCTGATGAGTAGCTGCACGAAACTAAGATTCACCAGTATACCGGCACGTCGGATGGATTTTTCCCGATAAGTATGATACTAAAGTGAAGAGACACGAGAAACGATAGAGCGTGACGAGTACATAGGCAACTTACTTTTTATGTGACTCTAAACTCATTGGAATAATTTACTGCTGTGAAGATAATAATCGGGCCCTTGATTCTGGCGTTTCCTAGGAGCTAGATAATTGTCGCATATCCGCGTATGCCTCAAGCAATGAGGATGAGTGAACTTTGTTTGATACCAAAACCTATATTGCTGCAGCTCATAGAACGGGCGCTATGTTCGCCAACTGCCTTGGTTTTTTTCATCCGTCCATGATTCACCTGCGGATCGACCACTTCTCAGACTGCCGTAGCTTCGATGGGAAGTGCCATCATGTATGGGGGACTAGCTGTCGGATAATAGTCTACGTTTCACCACTCTTGCCTGCGGCCCCTGGCTCATGCATTGCAGTCCATTGGGTGTCAGCCTTCCCCGTGCGAACGTGAGGCTGACAGTTTAAGCTTCTGGAGAAGTGTCGGGCGATGACGTTATGAGCGGGCTATGTCCTTTCCCGCCAGCAACTCCCAGAGTGTCCTAACCGCGAACGACGGCCTGCCGGAAGGCAAGCTCCAATGTCTTGTGTCATGATCACGTGACTCTTTTACCACAGGCCTATAGTCCAGGGTAATTACGAGTGTGAAGTAAGAGGGAAATAGCATGCAGGCAGGCTCGACAATATCTGGATTTTGTAGCCGGCGACTGTTGAAGAGATATATTGGATGCATAGAAGATCAATATGGGAACCATCATTGTTTTAGATCAAGAGCCATAGACACTGCTATTTATATGTTTGGTGACTTGGAAGGCTGGCCCTAGTATATTACACTCAGCTCAAGGATACTAGAAGAGTCATCAGAGTGTTCGGACTGTCATGAAGAAGCCGTGGCGCGGCGAGTCTCCAGGCTAGCTGCAAAGGGCGATGGAGCGCATGTCGGCCTCGGCCAGCCTTCTTCCTTGCTTTCTGAGGAATGGGGGCAAATGGTTAGGTTTCGGTCATCTCTCGTAGTGGCACGGAAGGCAATAAGTCGTAGTGGAAGCAATATCAGCCGTAGCATTGACGACTCGTCTGGCAATGATCCAGGCAGGACTGGCAAAAGTGTAATGTATGGGCAGCTAGATGCTGTTTCTATTTTGGGAACTAGCGATGACAGGGGAAGGGCGCATGTGAGGGCAAATGTAAGGGCGTCACTAGGTGGCAAAGGATGGGATGAGATGCACGGCGGCCTACGAGCGCTCGAGTAAGACAGCCCCTCTGTAAGAAGGAAGTTGACATTATTGGGCTGTTTAACCTTCAATATCTTGGGCAAGAGGATCCGGCTCAACGGGGTCAGCGCTCGTCTCCTCCCGCCCGTCGTATTGGCAGTAATTCGTCAATGCTTCCCCATTGCACCTCGGCCCCTCATCCCTCCACTCAACTTCTCCCGTCAATCCGCCGGAATTCGAAGCGTAGCAGCGGCGCTTTTTTCCAATCTCTTCCTTCTTTCTCCGTCTTCTTTCCAGCCATGGGCCTCTGAGTGGATCGTCGTGGTAATCTCATCGCAATGCCCTCCCAGCCTCCCGCACACTCACTTTGACCCTCATCCGTCGTGGCCTCCCCCAACTCCAGAGTCGTGGAAGATTCGCGCAGGTACATTTGGGTGTCCAAGATCGCGACAGACCGAATCCAAGACAGGTGATCGACGGACGGCCAAGCTCGGTCAGACACGATAACATTAACCATCCGTGAGCGAGCAGCGCATGGGGAGAGCCTAGAAACAGACCTGACGTTGTCTCACCAGCGCCAAGGCTCGTCTTATGCTGCAAAACGCATGTCGGCGGGTCGATAGCCGCTACCCTGAACTTGAGTCTTAGTCGATGATGATGATGATGATGATGAGGCTCCGAGCTCCCGAATAGCGTCTTCAACAATCCAGGGAATCCGCAGCCGCGCAAGTCGATGCCTCACGTGCAGACAACTTGTCGGCGGGCTTTCGGAGGCTGCGAGCGCACCGATTTTCAAAGATCCCGTCGCGTGAAATTCCGTAGATAGGGGGAGGGCTTGAAGGTGAAGGATTCCTCGTTGCTGCGGATGGAGCGTAGGCGTAGATCGGATGCCTTCGCCGCTGCACCCTGAAGCAACAAGACGCGTAAATGGCATGGTGAGAAATGCCCATAAGCTCAACTCAATTAATGGCAGAACGCGAGGCGGAAAAATGGTCACTCCGCATCGGCCTCAAGTCCAGCTTCGCTTGTTCCGCTAATAGCAGTCCTCACCGCCCCTGCGCCTACTCACTCCACTCTGGCTGCGACTAGGGCCACGCTCCCACCCTCATCGGCTCCTCTACGGCTGCTGCCATTCACGACCAACTGAGCCGTGGCGACGCCGGGCGATGAGCAATGCCATATTCCCTCCCCCATCTCTGCTGCTGTATCAACTTCGTCATCACGACCGCGCCCATCGCCCAAGCCAGGGCGAATCTTGATGGCCGCCTCAGCAATTAAGGGATCCCCCCCTAACCCTGCCCCAGCTCGCCTGGTTCCTGCATTCCGTGGCCCCGACCACATCAACAATGTAGTCGCAGCAGCTCTCCCACTGCCCCTCGGCGTCCAAGCCTTTCATCGTCTCCTTTCCCTCTTCTCCTCCTCTTTCTCCTCCGCCTCAATACACCAACGCCCACTTTTCATCCATCGCCCGCCTCCCATCTTCCCCAGTCGGCCCCTTCCGGCTAGCCTCGCTGACTCCTTCCAGCTACGGCCCATCAACACATTCGTGATAATGGCTTGACTGTCGCGGCCTGCATGATAAACTCTTCGCCGGGGCCTTTTTCAAATCAAAAAGAATCGTAGATCTCAACTTACCGAAAAAAGAAATGCTCGTGCTCCCCCTACCCCGTCCATCCATCTCTCCCCCCTCCCCCCCCCCCAAAAATCCCTAAAAACACAGAGGTCCTGACCCCCATCCCCCCTTCTTTCCTCCCATCTCCTTCCCCCATTGACCCATCCCAGCTCCAGTGTCTGAACACACGCCTCTTGCTTTCTTTTCTGCAGGCCCACCCTCACCGATCATTGGCCCTTTTGGACGCTGGTGGAAACAACCATACAAGTCGCTTCGGGTCTTCGTCCGACAACGTCTTTTCAAGCAGTTCAGCTTAAAGACAAATGGCCGGCCAAGATAATCTCGGTGCACAGCTGACCGGATCGTCAACATCATCGCCATCTTTTAGATCCGCAGACTATGTCGACGCGCCATCTACACCATCCACCAACTTTCATAAGCCCGTTGACCACGAAAAGTTTCCTCTAGATTATTTCGAGCTATCACCTGCATCCTCTCCGCGTCGACAACCGCAACAGTCCCCGCGAGAACTTGATTTTGCACCATCCTCCAACTCGTTCTTCTCTCGATCATTTCCTGAGCCGTCAAATTCCACTCCCTTACTTCACCTCCACACAGAATCTCAAAATCCTATCCCCTCCTCCCACAACCCTATAACCTATTCCAACGATAATTCTGGCCCTACCACACCAACAAACAAAGAGCATTCAAGCGCCTTCCCGCTGCCATCGGAAAATATGTCGTTCGCTCCACTACCTCGAGCTCATCATGTCAATATAGATGAGATACCACTAAATTCGCCCCTTGACGATGCTCCGCCAGAGGTAGAATCTCACAGCTTTAAGCCCTCACGTGGCTTCATTTATGCCTTTCTATCAATCTGTATCATTACTCTCGCCGCAGCACTAGATGCGACCTCACTCGCCATAGCTTTACCCATCATTACGGGAAAGCTACACGGGACAGCTATCGAAGCATTTTGGTCAGGTACCTCCTTCCTCATCACGTCAGCCGTTTTTCAGCCTATCCTAGCTGGACTTAGCCACATATTTGGAAGGAAAGAGCTAATCCTCGTATCCGCACTCTTTTTTGCCGTGGGGTCTTTTCTCGGAGCTATTGCCAATAATTTCACTGTAATGCTGATTGGGCGATCGGTTCAAGGCATGTCTTCATCGAGTAACTAAAATCAAAATTGGCTAATTTTCAACAGGTATCGGCGGTGGTGGCATTCTAACTCTCGGAGAAATTATGTTGACCGATCTGGTCCCGCTCGCATATCGTGGGGCCTGGTTTGGTTACTTGGGTTCTGTCTGGGCGATTGGATCCGTGACCGGACCCCTAATGGGAGCATCTTTCGCCCAAAGAGTGACATGGCGATGGATTTTTTGGATCAACCTACCCATCATAGGTATTGGATCTGTGGCCATTCTTCTCTTCCTCAAGCTCGACAAAACACCCGGAAAAATTAGTGAGAAGCTTGCTAGGTTTGACTGGTACGGGTCCGTTGTATTTTGCGGATCCTGCGTCTCTTTTTTGATACCCTTGACATGGGGTGGAGTCATGTATTCTTGGGGCCACTGGCGAACGCTAGTCCCTCTCTTCGTGGGGCCTGTTGGACTCGCTGCATTCCTCTATTATGAATGGCTTCTCAGTAAAAAGTGCTGGGACCAAGATGGAAACATGCTGCCAGGTATCAACGTGGAACCTATCATACGCTTCACCATCTTCAACAATGCAACCATGGTATTGACATACATCCAGACTGTCCTTCATGGTATCGTCTTGTGGAGTCTTCTATACTTCTTGCCTCTATACTACGAGGGAGTAAAGGAATACTCTTTGATTCTGACGGGTGTCGCTGCGTTACCTGAGACTGGATTTGTTGCACGTGAGTCGTACTCTATTCTCTTTCTAATCCACCGCTGACTAAACTGCTAAAGCCATGGCTGTGATGGTGGGCGTGATCAGTGCCAAGACGGGTCATTATCGATGGGCCATATGGGTAGGATGGGCCCTGACCACTTTTGGTGCAGGTCTCCTCGTCCTCCTCAAACCGGAAACAACTGTCGTCCAATGGATCTTTCTCAACATCACGATTTCTATCGGTACTGGTATGCTGTTTACTGCGATGGGTCTCGCTGTACAAGCAGCCGGAGTACCTGAAGATGCAGGACATGCCGCTGGATTTTACTCGTTCGCTCGTGTTATCGGTCAATCTCTCGGTGTCGCTATTGGAGGAGTTGTTTTTCAAAATCAAATTTATTCTAATCTTCTCGAATACCCTCTTTTGGCCCCACAGGCTCAACAATACTCCAAGGAGGCGACAGTGCTGGTGGTCATCATAAAGATGATGCAGCCTGGCCCACAAAAGACTCAGCTTATCCAAGCATATTCTGATGCTCTCTCCATGATTTGGGTTGTAATGTGTGCTGTTGCAGGCCTTGGTCTTTTATTATCTATCTTCATCAAAGGTTACACCCTGGAACAAGAACACAAGACTCTGCAAGGCTATAAATATGATGGTGTTGACGCGGATGAGGAACGTGCAAGCTCAAGCTATGGCGCTCAAAAATACAGCTCCAGCCCTCAAAATGGTCATGTTTACAGTGGGCCCATGGGGAGCGTTAGTAACCTTGAAATGAGCAATCTTAGCAGTGTTTATGGTTTGAGTACGGCACAAGCACACGCTAGCAATGCCTCCTCGCTTGACCACGAACCTGAAGGAATGAATCGACGGCGAGGTGCCACTATGAGCTCTTCCGCCTCCGTCACTGGCATTGAACCACAAACGCATCATACGGCTTTATAATGAAACTTTTCTACCGTTTATTATTTACTCAACATAATCACGTCTATCTGTCTGTATCTTCCACTTATCAAAGCTAACTTATTGATAATGGTATCGCCCTCGGCCGCTTACACGAAAGCGTGAGACTCACGGGAGTGTAGTTTTCGTCCGATGCAGTGACTATGGGGCTGGGGTACGGTATGGTCATTGGATTTTCGGCGCTGGATTTGGCGTCAAGGCGGTTAATGGGACCTCATAGCGAAATTGGGTTTTAGATCTACTGAAGTGATACCTGCCATCACAAACTCGTTAAATATGTGAATCCCTATGCGTGGTACACTTCTGCACAACCACTGACGACCTGAAATCACGAAAAGTTCGAATCTTATAAAGTCGTAATTGCCATTATCTAGCGGTCTATCGTTGGGAACAAAACACGATTCAGCTGTGTAATCAGCAATTATGTCTACTATTCACCTTTATATCGTAATCACCGTCAAATTAAGTGATCCCATAAATCCCTTCCTGATATTGTGACGTAGCTAAATCAACGCAAAGAGCCTGCATAACAAAATATGATGAGTCCCGAATATTCACATGCTTTGCCAAAGCCTCTGCTCGTCGTACTTTGCACGGTCCATGACCCTACTACATTCAATGTGAAACTTGAAAAAAGTTAAACTTAACTATGCCGGCATAATCCCTGTATTGTTATGTTCGCCCTGCATCAACCCTAATCACACTCAGCCTAACATTATTCCAATTGAGACCATGCCGAGGCCTTTCACCTGATTTAACAACACACGCTCCTGTCACTGCCTCCAACTGTAATCTCTACGCTGGCTATCATATCTTCTTGTCCATATACTAGCTACAAATAAATTGCATGTAACTATGGACCCTGTAGATATTTGGAATGACCTGCCAGAGCGAATTTGGATTTGCTCTAGGCTCTCTCGAGGTCAATCCTGTGCCAAGCTCCGAACGACGCATTAAACATTGAATACTCTTCCTATGCCTCACGATAAATAGCAGAGTCTCTATTATCAACAGGTCTTGAGAGGGGTTGTAATGCGGGATCCTTGGAGCGAAAATTATGCTCCATGCTAGAGCTCAATGTGCGCATTGCGTACGCAATAAATATGTTTCAAGACTCACAGTGTTATTGGGATATGTCAAAGGCAATTCCATGGACTCGTACGGGCTAATAGCTGAGAAACTAAAGCAATTGGAATACGACGACCCCCGTAGCCAAGATAAGGGTGATTGGTCTGTGAGTCAATGTCCCGGCTGCCTATTCGGTAAAGGTAATGAGCTAAATTTCAAGCTAGCATCAGGCTAGTATTTTGGAGCTAGTTATCAGACCTGGATAATGTCATAAGCCTGGCGTTTATTGGCAAGATGTCTAATTGCTTCAGGACACAAAACGCTCGTTGTCCAAAGGGCACTATCTGGCGTGGGCCACAGATAGGCCTTCCCCTGATCGACTGGCACAAACGATGCTTGATTATCGAGACAATTTCACAAAACTAGTTGGATTGGCTGTTATTACTATCTACCTAGGCGGCAAGTACACACTTGAATTTTGACTCTTACCAAAGAATACCACGCTCTTAAAAGGCATCTCCTGCAAGTGACCTCTCGTATCTTGCACTGGTTGCCGCGAATGGGCGAAAGACGCTATATATACGGAGAAATTTGGTTCCGATGATAGGCTGTGCGAGTTATCAAAAGAGTCTAGCTATACAGCCTCATCGCTACCCCAGCATGCGTAGTCAGAACGTCTCCCACGCCGCTCGGATCGATGACGACGTCAGAGGAAACATGACTATACCAGAGTCGAGAATAGTTACGGCTTAGAGGCGTAGTGAGTAGATAAAAGTCGGCCTCAGTCATCAAGCCCATACCGATTTTTCAACAATTGGCGCCGTGTCTTGGGCTCCATCTCACCGTCCCAGCAACATGGAAATCCGCTAGTAGCCCTCATGGAGAAGTTTAATTAGCCCCAGGGCAAAGCCCCGGCCGTCTCATGTTTCAAGACGGTAGCGAGAGCACGGGCCCTCGCCCGTTAAACATGAGCATTTGAAGCGCGTCACGGTCAAAGGCAATCTAGAGATACGGGATCAAATTCTGTACGTGGCCCTCGACGCAAGCGGACCGAGAGGAAGAAGCCAGGGATCCATATGGCTACGGATGACAAAATCCCGAAAGCATATAATCTTTGACTCGAAGGTCCAAGGGCAGAGATTCGAAGCTAGTGAAAGAGCCCTTGCCATACCCGCAGTGCGATACAGTGGATCGGAGGGCAAGCAATATCGGAAGACAGCTGATGCAAGCACTACGATAGCGACCATGGGTGGAGACATGACGGGTACACATAAATGGCCCTCTCGTGTATCGGCGCAGCACGAGCGATATTTCCGTGATTGAAAGAGTACCAGATGGCTGGGCAAGCCGCTATTCTCCGCAGGACGGCTCGTCCGCACCGTCAAAATGGTAATCGACACCTGCACGCACCCTAAGAGCACCAATTCAAACTGAATCGAAATGGGAGAAGTAATTCAAACTAAACTTGTCAGATCACACTTATGAACGACATATTACAAATATCCAGCTTCAATTAGTGAGCAGGCAGGGCCGTAGGGAAGGTCGAGTCAGAGATGTCGTTGTTCAACCCCTTCGAATGATTATTCAGAAAGACTTTCGGATTTCTTCTCAGTTTCCTCACATGAGATTCCAGGAGAAAAAGATTACAAAAACCTCGTCTTGGGCAAATAGATTAAATAATACAGATTAAATTACGGGAACAAGTCAGGGGCTTTCGACATCTCCTTCAATCCACGTGGTAACGCTTCATGCCAAATGACGTGTGCTTATCAGTCACCCACCAGTCGACATTACTGAAAGTCGTTCTGTGACACGAAATACTATCACTAGAAAATCCAAACCCCTGCGGATCACAAACGCTCTAAGGGGCAGCGTTCGGGAGCCTACCTTGCCGAGATGAGATATAGGGTTAGAAACGATCAGTTTTTCGATTTCAACATAGAATAAGTGATGCGTCCTGAGCACCATTTGTGTGTCTTGAACATCGCTAAGTACTGCATTTATCCAAAAGATGTCTTGGATTCTGACCCAAGTCTTGCCTTTTCGTATAAAAAGATCATATAGCCACCTGAACAGCAGTATTAGCAATAGACCCTAGACATCCTCTTCATATACGATGAGAAACTTGAAGAATGCGTCAGATTAAACAGTTGGCATCTGTAGAACCTTCAGGAGATTCTTTTCTCACTGTCGGACAAGAAGTAAATAAGCTAGTTACAAAATATTGGTGCAGCTCGAGTTGACGCTTTCAATCGCTAGTATACCCTGCAACCAACTTTAGACCTCTTCACTTCGTCCGACCATGACTGATCGGGGTTCAAGCAGGAGCTAAAATTTCAATGTGGCGAGGACAGACTCGAGAGGTAGCTTGACGTGGAAATTCCTAGATTGGTTGAGAGCCTGGTAACTCCCTTTCTCAATCCTATACCCTTTATCGCGAAAAATTTAGCTATCTTTCGAGACAATTAGAAGGCAGCTCTTCATCTCACATTGTTGCCACCTGCTATTAGTTCTAGTCGTGTAGCAAATTTTTATCATCTCGCGGCCAGCTGGCCAAATATGACACTTATATCCATCAAGAGGTTAGAGACAGTAATTTTTGGATATTATACAGAGCAACCCAGAACCGTCGGGAATGAAGCTGCAGGTACTTTGGCCAAGTCTGCTTACTTCATACCGCGTCAGATTTTCTGACGATAGCTAGAGCAAAAGAGGCATTTTCTAGTTCTTTCATGCCTCCCAAATGCATTTTGGGGACAAAAAGTTCTTTAGATGTAGGGAAATCAACATAGGACTCATCACGGTACTAACCCTAGTGCTTAAATAGCTAAGTCGAAGTATGTTTAGTAATCTGATTGTTGCTCTTTCGGAACACGGAGAGAATGTACAATGTTATCGGTAATTTTCACTCCAAAGTATCCTATTAACTTGTTCGTGTGATGGCAAAATGTTCCGGCTTGCCTCGTTTGTTGCCGGCTATGCAGTCGCCTCGCTTGCCCTCGTGGTAGCCTGTGACACTGAGCACGACAGTAGGCGGAAACTCAGCGCAGCTGGAGGCATTCTAGCCTGCGGTACATTGGCCCGTACCGCCAAGATTTTTGACAAGATCCAATTGACACACTGAGTGTTCCTCGGGAAAGGCATCATATTGGCGTGGGAGTCATGACCGTCTCAAAGTTATCTCGGTTCTTTATTATTTAGATTTATTTTCTCCAGAATAAAGATCCTTCATTACTTTGCCGCCGCTGGAGGATTAGTGAAAAATTTTCTAAATAAGTGTAAAATTTAGACGAAGGGATGTATATGATTATTATACTTCTAGGGCGGCGGAAAGCCTTTCGAGTTCGTTGTAATTCCTGCATGTAAAAGGGTTTCACGAGTTCCGGGTAGCTGGATAGTGACCGGGTTGCTCGGCAGGTGTCTAATATCACAACGTAGTGTTAATCAAAATTTAACGTCCTGTCAATCAAGATACTTGGTATTTGAAGCATCGCGATGATCTTATTGCTCTATTCGCCATAGGACCTGTGAGAAAAGGTTCCTACATACTAGTTTTCGATCACATGAACCAAGATAAAAATTGGTGCGCTGAAGAAGAGAAGAGATGTGTTCTAGGCCCAACAGAGTCAAAGTGACATACCCACTCCCATCATTAATAAGGATAGGCTCGTATCTTGTTGCGGTGGCTTGACGTCACACAAAGGCGAGACTCATCTCGAAATTGCCTGGCTATCACGTGAATGGTAAATCACAATTGGACTGCTCCCTTTTCAATCTCATACCCTTGCCCGAAAACGAAACCGGCCTATTTATTACGACGGCGAGTATGTCTATCATGATGATGAGTGGCAGCTTTCCTCATTAGTCAGAGATCTACGCGAAAAAAGAATCCCAATTTTCGATGAGAGGCCAATCCAAATCTCTTGCCTCTTTCAATCGCTCACTCGAGTATCATTGATGCTGACTGCATATGACAGACTCACGTCATGCCAACTCATCTCGGCAGGATTGAAGTGAGTTGTATTAAACAATCTATGCACTAAGGGGGGGCTCTTATGCGTCTCGGGGAATGTATGCATATGCACAATTCCGAAATGAGGCGAAAGGGTTGGGTAGCTCCTAAAACGCATTCATAGGCCGGGGGACCGGGTAGGAAGCTGACGAGGCTAATTTTAGTCGTCATCCCTCGCTGCACGTGCTTGTGAGCAGCTATGCGAGTGAAATATCTACTACGCTACCATTTTCGACTCGGTTTCATATCTCTAGCCGGCTTGGATCGATGCTTCGAAATGATGATGTTCGTTGAAAGCCCAAGGCTAGTGATTGATATGTGCATATATTATTGCCAAGCGAATTAGCCAGGATTACCACGAGCAAAGGACATAGGACCTCTGGTGAGGCGATGGATCGGGGCATCAAGCACACCTCTGATCTGAAAATTTCGTTCAATGCAGAGCATGGACGAGCGATGTTGGCCCTCCAAACTCCCTAAGGTCACCCGAACACGAAGAAATCGTGACCAGCAGCCAGTATGCAATCAGCATCGACAGCCCAAACTCTAGCCCCTCCAATCTTGTGGTAGCAACTGCAGACAAACTCTTAACATCTGAGTGTACCAACCTCTGTCGTCAGGCTCATCACTACAGAGGATATAGAAATGAAGGGGAAAAATGCTGTCGGTTTACCTAGCAATGATAGATATGCAGAATATTGAAGTCCACTCCAGCAAAAAGATAGCTTTTAGGATCAGGATCAATGGTGAAAATTCGATTCAAAAGTTGAATGCTAGAATAAAGTTTGATTGCACTTCTCCCCCAGAATAGACGAGGCTGTTGAACTTCCGATTTCTGCTACAACTAGTGAGTGTGGCAGGGCTCGATCATTCAACATCTACATGCATTTCTTTCTGAAAACCACAAGATCATTCTTTAGAATTGATAGGGCCAATTCCCAGAACGGTGAGATTTTTCGGCGCAACTTCCAATAATGCGTACATTTTAGTACTTGAACTGAATGGCATTTTCGAAGCCCTAGATGAGGAAAATCTCAACAACTGTCGCCAGTGTCTTGTACAAACCTGAAGCTAATACCGTAGAGTTCCGGGGTCGAGACCCTATCAAAGACTAGGTAGGTGATCCAAGAGTTTAATTAAACGACAACCGGTGAGCAGTGATAGTGTCAGATTTGAGTTGCAAAGGAGGCAGAGAATCGAAACTACTTTTAAAGTCATAGACTGAGACTGAACATATTAAGTAACAGAATGTTGAAGGCGCAATGATATCCCAAGTCGAGTTCAGTGAAATTTTGCAACGAGGAAGTTATCTTACTAGGCAATGATTATGACTCAGAATAATATTGATTCTCCGCTCTTACCAAGACAGACGTTAACTAAAGCCTCATTAAATCTACAAATATGACATAAAACATCTTCATTTGAACAACTGCAACACTCGATAACTCAGTTTCTGTCTCCAGATACGCTCTAAATTAGAATGAAAAGGACGTGTACAGCCTAGAAACGGTTGAAATCTCGACATTATGAAGGGATTTTCAATAACGATGAGAATTATGTGCGTCGTGACATCGTATGCGAGATTTCAGAAGACAAAATAAATAGATTCATAGCCGAATGGCACAGTGACACGATATCCGGGCTGGTCTCTTCAGTACAGTCTGGACAGCTTAAACTATTAATATGTCTCTTCATTATGGATCCGTAAAACATAGTGCATTTTGATACTCGAATTACGATAGACAATAGAAATGAATGGTGTTTATGGCAGTTCCAGGATTGGTCTTGTTTGACAGGGACAGTATATGTGTATATATATTACGCACTTGGCTACTATTATGATGATGCTTCCGACTACATTCACAATTCCCATTTCTACTCTACACTAATCACTCGTTACATTGGACTGGTCTCCAATTAGTGCTTTCTCCCCTTCTTATCTTTATATGACAAGCTATTTATTCCCTGTCTAATTGGAAATCATCAGGCTCAGAATTATGGGCAGATTAATCCTTATCATGAAAATCTATTCCAGTTGAGATAGATTGATGGTATCAATTCATCAATGCAAAGGGGATGAAAACTCTAAATCTATTATCAGTGTCCCTTATGAACCTTTAGCTCTCACCGTCGGGGCTGTAGAGCTGAGATTGATTCACACCTTTTCAACTTTGAGCTCAGTCGTCTCCAATCTCCTTAAAAGTAGGCTTTCGGTAATGCATACAGCGATATAGACGCTACAAAGAGAAGAGATATTACAGTACCATACTCTGCAACAGTAGCTAGAGAAGCCATTGTGCCGATAACCTGGAGTTGATAATACTTAATTAAATCGTTTTTAATTTCTTTTGAATTCAGCAATAAGTACTATATAAGTACAAACAGCATTACATCATTAGAGTCTATTTCAAATGGCATACTCCCTCTCTTTTCCCCTGCAACATTAGCTAATATCGGCGCAAGGAAAGCTAGCTGACAAAAGGTCTATTACTATTGACCAAAAAATAGTCATATTCAAACATAAACTATTCGTAGGCGGGCAAAGATATTCCCACGAAAGCAGAGTAAATGATCCTTCTGTCCCCGAAGAATGCATAACTTTACTAGTCGCTTCTAAAAATTCCTTCCGCATGTATCAGTCAGAAGAGCATCTAAAGTACATGAGTTAGTAGAACTCCACACCCGTAACGACTCTTGAATGCCAGACTTGCCTTTTTCACGGCAATTGCTCCGGATCAAGATTTATCTCACGTTTTTTCACTGTCTCTAATTTTTCCTGCGACTCGAATCGGGATTGGGGTAAGCGCTAGACTAGAAACTAGAGACGAGCTCTCAGGTACATAGGGGTCTACTGCACCCGGCTTACCGGGCTCTTCGAATGATTCAGAAGGTTAGACTTGTCTTTGAATTGAGTCCTGATGTTATCGGTAGGAAAATCTTGCAACCAGTGGTTTTGGGTACTTTTACCTGTAGCCATACAACTGAAAATAGCCATCTTTTCTCAGCTAGACTGAGGAGATCACGACGGAGTAAAAGATACCCCAAAAGTTTACCGAAAAAATAGATTGTAGGGATATGACAACTGAAAGGAAGCCGTCAAGGTGGCATAGATACTCCTGGCCTGTGGACAGAAATGACCTACATGCCCTTGTATAGTCATACATTAAATAAGATAATTAACACACAAAAAACGATATCCAGTAATGATCAACCATATTTCTCACGGTGCTAGTGTAGAAGACGACGAAGGCATGCTTGAATAATAAAAAGTTTTGAAACTTCTCTCTATTCGATACTTACGCACAAATATTCTCTACGCCAGAAATATCACCCGACAAAATGAACACATTAATTTTGTAAAAAAAACTGGCCAAAAGAATATCATGCTCAGATTACTACAAAAAGAATGGGATCTATGCGCTAAAAGAACAAGTGTAAGCGACGTAGAGCCTAAGTTGAAATAGAATCGATTGTAGAGCCGCCTAACCATGAAATATCTTCTGATTGTCACAGATCACCCATAGAAGGCAATAAGCATTTATATGAATGATGGTATTTTATAATTCAACTATAGAGAGCTAATTCATACATACTAAGTCAGGTATATATCCAGATTAATGACATTCTAGGCTCTTTCCTCTAAGCTCAGCTCACTTCTAAACGACTCCAGTTGCCACCCAAAGGATATTATTTCTAGCAGCTTCTTCGAGGTTCAGTCTCAGTCTTACTCATGTAAGAATTTTTCAAGATCCTTCTTCAGAGGCTCTTGTATCATCTGCAGGGCTTTTGCACCTGCCCAACCCCCGGTAGTTGTATGCCTGTCCTTGCCAGTACTGGCTACAGGAAAATACTGGCTTTGTAGCCGTTACACTGATTAACTTCTTGCGCCCACGCCATCCGTGTATCAATAAGTAGATTGAAGCTCTACTTTACGAAATTTCATGATCCCATTTTGATATAATCGGCCGTGTCAGGAGCTTAGGCGAAAAAGAGGACTCGTAAACCTAAAAAACGTGACACCATTTTTCAGTCTCTTCTACGTAAACATACACATCTTCAAGCAGCATTTCCAAATAAAATCGAAAGCTTCAGTATCGCTTAAGTCGAAAAGGTATCCAAAGTTTGTACTGACCACTGATCATGTGTCATAACTTGATAGCTGGATCTTATAAATAAAAATTGACCCAAGTCACATATTCAACACTATCTATACATTGATATATTTTGTCGCTAAACATATTCACGACTGGGAAAAGATACTGGGCACACAAGTGCGCTTCGCTCTAAGAAAATGGAGAAGAAATGTTGTGCAAGTGATAAAGTTCATACTTCCACTATGCGCAGATTTGAGAAGCTTCTCAGCCAACAAGAAGTTTTGTTGGCACTTTTTGATGGAAATCCTGAAATGCATTGAATTCAGGTACCTATTAATAAATCAAGTTGGTTTCATCCGACAGTCAAGCGGCACGATCTTGGACTTTACTATAAATCGAAATTAGCCTCGTATTCTCAAAACCGTCATAAATTCTCTCTATCAGGTAATCCCGTATACAAAATGCGACTTTTTATGAATTTTCAGATCCCATAGGTTTGAAAAGAAACATGGATCTAGCTGAATAGCCTTGAAATTTAGACAAGGAGAGGTTATTTTGCTGCTTATGGCTGGAATTTCTCTTCTAGATCACTATGAACGAATATCTTTGGATTATACTAGACCAGTGGGTCGGGGAATGATTAATGCCTGATTATGGTCATGGAAAAGTTTGATTAGAGGGGCAATGTCGCCCGATGGGATGATGGGAAGCCTTATTCCCTCTAAATAATTCATACTTGCTGGGCGATGTAAGCTGGGCAGTGACAAGGCTCCATTATTTTGTCAGGTACCTCTGGTAGCGTTAAAATTTCGGGTAGTCCAAGTAAACCGTGCTATTCGGTGTGAGGTATACTGTATTATTTGCTTTGGTCTCTCATTTAGCTTGCTAGGTATGTGGTAGCCTGGCACTCATTCAGGAGCTGTAGGGTGAATGGGACCAGGTCGGATAGGGTCAACTTCTACCAAGTACACAAACGTGTCACAGCTGATAAATTAGGTTACGGCAGACCTCATCCGCTTGTTAAATGGTACTGAACCCGACTTTCTATCAAACTCAATGACCATGCGCCTATAGCAGCTGTTAAGTTTACAGATTCCTGTAGCCAACGCTGGCTAGCGTGGGTAAATACAACATGGGAATCTCCTGGGAAGATCTCGAAAGGCAGGGCACTTGATATATTCTCAGTGAACCTTCCAGAAATATAATGGAGATTCGTGATAGTGACAAGTGTAGCGAGAATCTTTTAGGGAGTTGTCGAAGAGTCTCGATCATTCAAATCACAGAGGGAACTATTTCGATAGATAATATCTCTAATTATATACAGATCGTCTTTAGCTCTAGGGATTCCTTCGAAGAATTACAGTTAACATGCTGTAACTAAAAGATTTCCCATGCATTTTGTAACGAAACTGTGACAGCGTCATGGCGCATACACTCCTCGACTCCAGCCACCATGCACCAAGCCTTTGAAATTCTCATTGTTTGCCATTCCAAAAAATTTCTAGATCACTGCGTTTTCTTGACGAAGCATATCCTCACCTTACTGCGAAATTGTTCTTGTTTGTTCAGCATCCTCTACAAGAGTCTATCCCACTCCATAAAAGCTTCCCGAAATTCTACGTGTAATCTTCCTTGTTTCTATCCCGACAATTCTCGTGAGAGGTGGCTTTTATCTTGTTCTTGTCAGGCTAGATAAATCATATCCATCACTCCCGCCACAGAGCGTAAGAATGATAAAGGTCTATCTCACGCATCAGTTATTAAAGTGCTTGTACCAAACTATGATGAGATGAATGGGGGATTAATCATCCCAAATAAAGGAATAATAGCGGGGCGAAGCTAGGTGGTAGAATACCTGAATGGAAAGTCAATCCTCTTCGAAGCAACCAAATAAGTGGCCTTAAAATAGTCGCATGGGCATATAAATCGACCAGCACGAGAATGTCGGAACACGATGCTGATACCTCGCTATTGG